ATTTAGAGCGATTGAATTCTGGGAAGTTTCCTGGTTGTAAGGACGTGACGCTTAACTCAAGTTTGGCCTGTGATAAATTATGACATGAGTATTTCTCACTTTGGCATCATCAAACTCACAGGCAATGTTTTGGTAACCAAGGAAGCTCCTAAAAATAACCCCTGATTACAATGATTATGATTCACTGGAGAAGGAACTCGATTGCTCAGCGGAGATACAGAAAAGCCCCTGTTGGAACACAGGCTTGACGTCCATGTGAGAGCAGACCTCTATCTTCCATCTCCCAAAGCCAAAGCGCAGAGCAACACGCGCCTTCTTAAATAAACACTGTGCGTCAGTGCGCTAATGAAAGCTAGTCAAACAAACTGGCTGCGCCATCAAACTACCTGGCAGAGTATGCAGGCGCTGCTGGCCTGACAAAACACACATGGCTGAGCACGGCTCATTCTAGACAAATGACATCACCCCGGCTGCGGCCGGCAGCTCCTGCAACTCTGTGACCGCAGCTTAAGGAACAAAAATACTGCAATTCATCACACATTTTGTTTATAAGTTATTTGTCCTTGAGCAATGGAAATGTGGTATGGGTCTTAATTATAAACAGTGAAATATTTATCTATTCTCCCTGTTTTCTGATCTAATTCAAACATGTAGAGGTGGCTGACTCTGTCTAAATAAATCTGTTTAAGGCTGCAGCTGCTGCCTTAAATTGTCCTAATGATCCCTGCAAACTAACACAGGACACTCTGATCTGACACTGGGCGTGACCCAGCAGCAGCATGCTATGTTCTGCATGAGGTAGTCCAAGGTCTCCCTGCTTTCAAACACTCTGTCCCACACACACACACACACACACACACACACACACACACACACACACACACACACACACACACACATATAGATCAAAAAACTTTAAATACTCTCTGCAGCCCCACCCCAGAACTTCCACAACTCCTGTCACTATGGACTCCCCAGCATGAGACCTGAATATGGACATCACACCACGACTATTTATACGGCGGCAGCCTATCAGCTCTTGCCTCAAGACAGCACTCCCACATTCTCTGCCCTAGATGGCACCAGAGTCCCAGAGGAGCCGTGACACACCCACATCATCAACATGTTAAATGCTGGATCTCAGCAAGTCATTTAAAAACAACCCAATGCCCCCATTTATATCATGATTTACAATGGTTTCAATGCAAATATTTTGTATGGAAACTGTCTTTCCCAAAGCAGAGCGGAAAATGAGCCTAAATAACCCTGAGAATGCATCAGAGCCTAACAGCATAGCGATGACTAAGATTTACATGTATAACACAAAAATACACATTAAATATACAGTTACTGTTGTTTTAAAGGTAAAGGGTGTTAATAAAGCAGGTGTCTGACCTCCAGATGATGCGTAGTCACAGTGGTATCCTCCATTGCTAGTAGTGCAGTTGTACCAGAGGTCTGAGGTGCTGAATTCGGTTGACGTCCATACCTGGTGTCAACAAAATTCAAGACTGTCAGTAACATGTGAAAAGTAGCACCAAATTCATCAGAACGTTTTTTCTCAAGTTAAAACTATTAATTCCATGTGAACAGGACTATATTTAGAATAATGAAGACATAAAAAGCATGATATCTCCCACTGCAGGTATAATATGCCTGCAAGCTTCATTACTGAGTTTTTGGTTGATTTACAAGAATATTTCATCCTCGAATTGTGCCTCAGAAAGAGGATAAAGAAAGACAAAACATAAGAATAGTTTTACTCACGCTGACTATCGTTGACACAAACAGGAGAACCAGAGAAGCAACGTGCAGGAGGACGATTCCAAGTAGTAGGAGCAGCATCTTTTCTGACGATCTGAGCAGCAATGAGAAGAGGAGAGAGTCTCTGTCAGTCAGAGTGTGAGTGTGACTGTCTGTGTGTGTGTGTGTGTGTGTGTGTGTGTGTGTGTGTGTGTGTAGATGTCAGAGTGGTGGGACATGGGTGTGTCGCTGCAGCACGTTCAGCATGGACAGCCTTTTACAAAATCTAAATCTGGACTACGTTCATAAAGCTTCCACGTACATCTAACCTTAGGTGAAGTTGTTATGCTATTGTTTTCAGACGCCTTTCATGAGCGTTAAACACCACGTCTTAGACACGATTCCACCTTAAAACGTGGTGTGAATACTCCCTTTAAGAATATCCCTTCTCTCATTCGGATCCCTTTAAAATGTTTTTTAATAATCCGGTTTCTATCATCTACAAAATGGAAATAATTGAATTCCCTGACGTTGATGTTTACCGGACATTTAAAAGATTTAAACATTTCTCAGACAGAAGTAACCTGAAATTCCAACCACTTTTGGTGTTGTCGGACAAAATGACTTTTCTTAAACTACCAAATAAGCGTATTGACAGATGTTTCTGCGATGACGCCTCGCTCTTTGGATCTGCGTGCGTAATGGAGCAGCGGGTATCCCAGCGCAAACCGTGTTTCCTTCTTTAATCCGCTAGGAAGGCAGCTGGATAGAATGAAGTTTAGAAGGAAAAACCAAAGTCCAATTACTTACGTAGCGCTTGTTATTTCCACAAGACAAAAGGGGTTTCAGGCTTGAAAGAAGCAAAATATCAAGTTTCCCAGAGAGATTCAAACAGCGGTAGTCCGTCAGTCCCAAAAGTCGCGCTCAGACTAGATTGATACCAGGGGGCTGACGTTCTGTTATAAAGTGTCTCATTATGGAAGAACAACGCCCTGCGTGCGTCGCTACGTCATGGAGTGACCCTCTGGTCCAGCGCCAGGCTTCTCAATATAGATGGTTCATGCGTAATAGCGCACGGGTTGCCTTAGTTACTAACTTTCTGGAGTGTTTGAGGAGACCTGGATCAGCATTGTTTGGCTGTCGTGGTAACTAAAAGCAGATATCTGCTTTCGAGGATGTCTTTCTTCTCTCTGACTATATGTTTCTATCTTTTTATTTTGCTGTTATGATTTATTTCATACAGTTTTACTTTACTCCTTTTTGGTTTGCTTTTTGATTTTTTAAAGCTGCTTTTTTAGATAATATAAGGAATTGAAGGAATTTGTCAGCAAATGTACGTATCATGCATTTTTCATTTTCTGGTAAATATGGAAATCAAAAATGGAAAAATTTGAGCAGAATATTTGATAAAATGACAGAATACAGCTTGTTCATGTTATATACTGCCTTAGCTCTTTGCTAATATTAGCTAATTTTCTGTAATGACCAATCAAACAATCTAAATCAGGCTTTAATTATCTTTATAAACTGATGACCTTTGGGTTTCTTTTACACTACGGTAAGGTATTTTTTGACTTTTTTTCCCCCCAAAATAGCATACTTCCCTTTAAACTCAAGTTGTGGTTGCCATGGCGATTGCAAACACAAACATTATCGTATTGTGGTGCGGCGTGGGTTGGTTCCCCTCTGGTCGTCATGTAGTCAGCCACGTGACTCACAGTATGTGTGAACGTGTGGATGGGTATGCCCCGGTGCACCACCAGTGAAAGAGAGAGAGCATGGAGGGGGGAGAGGAGGGGGGAAGGGGGGGGCTCTCCTCTGTTTGACATGACTCATTTCCAGTGGGAGTGGGGTCTGAGCTCCACTCTGAACAGGGACCACAGCCCATGTTGTCAATGTTAAAGGATGTACAGAGGGGTTTTTTTTCTCATAAATGTGGGTGTTGCAATGAATGGAATTCCAGGAGAGATATGGAGGCAGTTTCGGGAGCGGTTTGAACTGGAAATACTTTCGAGCATGTGCATGAATTGCCTTTTTTTTTTATGTCTGGAACGTCTACTGCACATAGATTGACCTCCTGTCAGTGATCATTTGAAAGATCATTCCATAAGCAACTCATCTTTCAAATGTAATTTCCCAAACACAGTAAGATCTCCCTGATAACACTGAATATATTCACTTTGAAAACTCTTCTAACCTTTACTCCTTCATTTCTGAAAATCGTCAAAAATTGATTTGACGTCCCGCACGCTGAATGTTATCGGCTACTGAAGAAACACACACTTTCTCCACATTAGCCGGCTGAGGAGTTTTAGGAACCGCCCGACCTCGGATAACCCCTGTCAACATCCACTCTCTATTCTCTTCACCACTTAGCTCACACTTCCTGGATGTTTTTGAGTGTGTTTCTCACACTCACATGAAAAACAGAGGTGTTTCCACTGCCCTCATGTCCCACACACACACACACACACACACACACACACACACACACACACACACACACACACACACACACAGGAGAGGGGGCAGTTACATGTTCAGATCACAGCCAGTAAAGTGCTGATCTTACAGAGGGCTTCAAAGTATCACTTTAAGGCGTGCTTAACCTGACCTGCAGAAGTGCCTCTTTGTCAGATATGACTCTTCTGTTACTTTACTGTTGGGGGTTCGGTGCCTTGCTCAAGGACACCTCGGGAGTACTTAGGAAGTGACCTTGCACCTCTCCAACTACCAGGCCAGCAGCCCAAAATATTCACCATCCAAAGAATTTGCACATTGCAACATATTTTATGACTCTTATTTTTATACAAATGTATGTTTTTAATGTTGAACTTAAATGATTTCAGGTCAGATGTGTTTTAGTTAGCTTAGCACTAGAAAAAGCTGAGTCCGTACTTCTACTTTCACCATAGTCTTTTTAAAACAACTATCCGCTCTTCTACGACAGCATAGATGGTGTGCGGTTTGGCCACAGTTGTTTTATTGTGATTATATGAGCAGAGAAGAAGTCAGTTAAGGTTTACAATAAGGGCTGTGCAGGCGCTCCCCATTCCCATCCCTTATATGTCAATGTTTGTAAAAGCCTGACAATCAGCGGGCTGAGTGGACATGTGAGTGTTACGTTTACTGCATTTGTGAAGCTGCAGGTCTGAAGCCAAACTCTCCGGGGAAAGAGACACATAACAAACATTCAGCCCCCCCACCCCACCCCCGATACAGAATTATGTTACATCTGGAGCAGCGTCTAACATTTCACCTCGGTCGTTAAAACCGTACGACTTATCTCCACGATAGTTCGGCAGACAGTGAGAGTGCATACCAAAACCCCAGATAGGACTCAAGCCAGTGGGGGGGGATGAATCTGGAGAGTAGACGTGATTGAGTTACAGTAACTCCATCCACATACCAACACAGACGAGTGTAAAAACAGATGAGCCGATCATACGTGGTGATTTCTCCACTCGAAGAAGAGATCTTTAAAATAAAAAAGGCAATAGAGATAATGCAGGGAAGTAAGAAAAGAGAGTCTCGTCCTTGATGCAATTAGATTCCATTCCCGTTGATTTTAAAACAATGTGACAGCCTTCTTTCACGTTCACTTATCTTGGCTCAAACCACTATCCATTAACTGTAATAAACAAAAACCTCATACTCACAGCAGATATATTTTATGATACTGATGCTCCTTGCAGGTCAGATCGAAGGCCTAAGTCGGCGTCCCTGTTTGACTGTGAGTTCACTGGGCCCTCTGCTTTGTGTGTCAGGTTGTGGCAGCTGTCGGTCAAAGGTGGCTCAGCCCTTGTGTCCTGTCATCAGCATGTGAAGTGGTGCTGTCTGCTGGTCAGCTGAGTGCCAGTAGTTTAAAAGCTCCCCCTCCTTACTGCAGCACCGCCAGAGTCAGACGCCCCCCCCCCGTGTTCTGCTCACCTGGATTCTTCTGACCTCAGACTAACCTCTGACCTGTCCTGTCCTGAACCATACCGTGCTGTACTGTATCATATAATATCATATATCTCTGAACTTCACTATATCATACCATTCCATACTTTATTGTATTGTATAGTATTGTATAGTATTGTACCGCATCATACAGCATTGTATCGTATCATACAGCATTGTATCGTATCATACCGCATTGTATCGTATCATACCGCATTGTATCGTATCATACAGCATTGTATCGTATCATACCGCATTGTATCGCATCATACAGCATTGTATCGCATCATACAGCATTGTATCGCATCATACAGCATTGTATCGCATCATACCGCATTGTATCGTATCATACCGCATTGTATCGTATCATACCGCATTGTATCGCATCATACCGCATTGTATCGTATCATACAGCATTGTATCGTATCATACAGCATTGTATCGTATCATACAGCATTGTATCGTATCATACCGCATTGTATCGTATCATACAGCATTGTATCGTATCATACAGCATTGTATCGTATCATACCGCATTGTATCGCATCATACAGCATTGTATCGCATCATACAGCATTGTATCGTATCATACCGCATTGTATCGTATCATACAGCATTGTATCGTATCATACCGCATTGTATCGCATCATACAGCATTGTATCGTATCATACCGCATTGTATCGCATCATACCGCATTGTATCGCATCATACCGCATTGTATCGCATCATACAGCATTGTATCGTATCATACCGCATTGTATCGTATCATACAGCATTGTATCGTATCATACCGCATTGTATCGCATCATACAGCATTGTATCGTATCATACCGCATTGTATCGCATCATACCGCATTGTATCGCATCATACCGCATTGTATCGCATCATACAGCATTGTATCGTATCATACAGCATTGTATCGTATCATACCGCATCGCATCATACCACATCGTGTCATACCTTAATCGCCCCTTCACACAATCTACAAGACAAGACAATCTATAGACAAGCACAGCCAATAATGTTCAATGAAACTCACATTTATCACCAAAATGTTCAGCTTTGACCCTCTGGTGGGAGATACATGTTACATCAGAGTCGGCCTATGTGCATTCAGATTTAGAATAACAGATAATGTAGGATGTGAAAAATGTCTGTTCAATATGATATATATATATATATATATATATATATATATATATATATATATATATATAGTGGTTTTATATATATATATATATAACCACAAATTGTTACATGATAGAACATTATGTGATTTTCTTAGAAGTATTTATGATTATTAACCTCGGTGGACCTGCAGTACACAGTCCTGATGGACATAGAAGTAATAATATTGTTTGTAATCTTTATTCAGGGTTTGAATCTATTAGTAAAGAGTAAAAGTAAACAGACATTTTGGATGGAGATGGGGACATTTGGAGCACACAGAATGTTGAGCTCATAAGGGAGACAACAAGGCTTAGAGAGATGAGAGGTTAACTCAGTGGGTTTTGTTTGTGTTGATAAGATACTCACAACCCTTGTCTTGTCATCACTATTTAATCAGACGAGATACAAAGTGATGACAGCAGAGGGGTTCACTGAGCTCTGTCCCTTTAAATATGTTCAATACACAACTGATTTCCTGTAATGAGTGTATATAGGGTCATGTCAAAGGGTCAGGTTAAAATGAAAGCTCAAATTAACAATATGATAATGATATGATAACAGAGAAAAGTAAAGGGATTCACTCTTAAGCTACTGGCCAAATTTCCAACCTCCTTTGATAAATGTAAACCTTCGCAAACCTTTTTTTGACAGGATGGATTAAATGAACAACATTATGATGAGAAGTAGCCAGTGGAAAATGTAGTATAACTCTGAATAGTCTAAAAGGTCAAACCTCAGAAATATCCTGATACATTTACCAAACTGTACAAATTGAATTGGTCCAATATTATTGCTTGGACGCGAGTCTGATGTGCTTTTTATTGCTTGTTTGCGAGTTGGACCTGGATCA